TAAAATGAACACTGAGCTTCTCAGGGAATCATGTGATCCTATCAGCTGGAGCTGTAAGAAAACCACTTATCTTGTGTGAGTTGGTAGCACAGCTTCTGCTTTTGAAGGTTATCTTTTGTCTACTATAACACTACAAAACCTCTTTTGTATCTGCTGTAACACAGTACATCCTACTGTACTTGGGCTCTGACCAAACCCCTGTCTCTTCCTTTTACCCTCACAGGACAGGGTAGAGATGAATTAATGCAGCTGAATGTACTGCCCATTTTTCTGCCTTTTTGAAAAAGCTTCTTTGGATTGAGACCAAGGAAAAGCTAAATATGCAATATTCCCCTTTTATGTCTCCACCACTGTTCCTATAGTACTCAGCAGTCCATAGGAGAGAGTTCTACCTGGTCAGTGGGTGTGTCTACATGTGCCCCTACAGCACTGTTATTACTGGGCCATCATTTAGTATTTCCATTAGGAAGTACTAAATGATAGTGCAGTAACAGCTGTTACTGCACCATGCCGGCAGTGCACGGCTGTTTTTAGCCACTACATCGCCGTAAGCAATACGCTATAGCAAGGGGGCAAGTTGCTGTGGCAACATAGCTACAGCATCATGGTTTGTGCCTGCCAATGCTACAGTGATGTAGCATCCCATGTAGACATGCCCGGTAAAGAAGGAAGCAAGTTCTACATTCAGGTTGCCTATTGCTCTCCTTTATAAAAAACTGTCCAACCATGGTTTAAAGAACTGACTTCTCAATGACTTAATCAGGACCTTGAAATAGTTGCAGGGAATTAACCTTGTGGCTTCTGGGTAAAAATTCAACCATATTTGGCCAGTTACAAACTGCCAAAAAGTGTTGTTTCCCACCAATGTTTTCCTCAGGCCATGGACATTTGAACAACTTACTGGAGGCTAAAGGAAGGTGGATGCAAGCTGCTTGAGAACAACCTGTTTGCAAGCTTTACCTTAAATGGGAGCTAAGTTACTGTGGTTTCACTTCCACTTACCATGCATTTCACAGATCTGCATTTTGCATATTGGGTTATGTGTTTATTCCGCCCAAGACAAGCACCAGCAGACTCTCCCTATACCTGAAGAAGGGTTTGTGCCTGAAAGCTAGTAAGGAACAATTTTTCCAGCTATTTATTTAGTCTAATAAAAGATATCACATTTATCCAAAGAACCTTTGGAACAGGGGATGGATTTTATAGAAAATACTGCAGCAGCGTGGTTGCATTACATGTAGTTGGGGCATTTTATCTGTTGCTCCTCTATGGGGTCATAGCAGATTTCAGGGCTTGGAAAGTCTGTTTTGTGAGAGGATGTAGTATGTTGGGATCCCAAGGGCAGCCATGATGCCCCCTGGTGACTCCATGACTGTGCCCCACTCCACCCCCAGGGCACCTTCCATTCTCTCCTGCCATGCCTTGATGGAAATATAATAATAATAATAACAGCAATAGGGAGGCTACCCATGGGCCTTTGTGTGGCTCCAGTCCTACCGGGGTTCTTTGGCACCATACTGGTCTCTACTATGCCCAGGTTCCTCACCGGACCTCTCTATGACTGTGCAGCTGCAGGGCACCTAAAGCCTTAGGGGCTAAATGGGTGGCTCCAAACCTCCCCTACACCATACCCAAAGCCTCACACACATTACTGTAATGATTTTTGGCCCTTTTGGGCACCGTGCCCCTGGCTCCTGTCTGCCAGACCTCCTGCCCCCTGTCTGGCCATGCCCCTGTCAAGCACTAGGCCCCTGTCCCCTGGACTACATGGCCCCCTGTCTGGCCATGCCCCTCTTGGGCACAAGTACCCCTAGCCCCTGTCTGGCCCTGTGGCCTTATTCTCTTCCAACTCTGGGCTCAACAGTTGCTCAAGCCTTGAGCCTGCCCCTGGTACGGCTTAAGGCAATTGTGTGCCTCTTGGGCACTAATAGTACCTCCACATACCACCTCTACAGTCCCAACCCAAACCACTAGTGTAAAACTGTAACTCAAACTATAAGTCCCTGAGCTATAACAGAAACACCAAAAAGGGAAGAAGCTTGCCCCTTTAAGAGGGAAAACCTTCCCTCATCCCTTTGTGCTGGCATACCTCCCAGCCTGGGCTTCCTGCGAGCTCCTTCAGCCTCACTGCTCCTGCAAGCAGCAAAGCGGTCAGTCTAGCACCCCTGGGTAGCATTCCTGGCAGGAGCTCCTAACCCTGCAGCTGGCAGGGCTGGACTAGTTTGCTAGTCCAAGCCCAAGGCCCAGGCTCATATCCTCCCAGGGCCCTGCCACCTTCCCATCAGCAGACTGCCTGGGCTGCCTGCAGGTGCCTGTTAATTGGCTTAATTGCCCTGTGGTCATGGCAACCTGCAGCTGCTGCACCCTGCCTGGCCTGCAGTGCCCACTCGCTGGGCTGCTTCCATATTAAAGGAACAGATAGTGCCAGGCTCTCTCTTACAGAGGAGAAATCAGTGACACAAGGCGTCAATATTTTCTCAGTATAGCTGACTTGATTTGCACTTGTGCAGCAGTCCTGGCCAGAGGATGTCAAACTGTCAAACTGTTCTGTACAATTATGGCTATAACAATAGAAGACATAAAACAGAATACTTGAACATAAGACAATTTGATAAACAAGTGTTTATAATATTTAGATTTCTTTTTTTTTAAATGCCAGCTGTGAAAAAGATTTTCTGCTTCTCAAGTGGTCATTAGAAAATGCACAGGGAAAATGAGTGGGAGGATTATTTTACAAAGATGAAGAAACAAAAGTTTAACATTCACTGAACCATAAGGGAATTGTCAGAGATTGAAAGGAAGAGGAAAAAGAACACAAGACATTGACTTGCATTAAGATAAATATCTGTCTTTATGTCTGTTGTAGGCAGTAGCAAAACTTGGGGCAGATGGCAATGGGAGCAGCCGTTCCAGGCACTGCCTTTGTGGGGACACAAAAGCAGCCACTGCTGCAGCAGCAGCTAACTGCACTGCCACAATCAGCACAGTAGAAATCAGTGTTACCCTGTGCATTGGCAGCTGCCCCAGATGTGGCCCTGCCCACTCACCCCCTCACCCTGCACCACACACCCCTGGTTGTAGGGGATTGGATGCATCTTCAAACGCTAAAGTTGTTATTTGGTAAGTTGGATTCAATAAGTTATAAAAAACCAAAATGTACAGGCAATACTTGTTTGATCCTTTCAAATATCTGATGTGATACAGGGCCTGACAGAAGGGTTGTATTTACATTATGTAAAACATATGTCAGTAAAAAAGTTTGGCTGTCAGTAAAAAGTTTGCAGATTGTCATAAAAAAATAATCTTTGGTTGCCAAATCTGCTGGCATATAACTAGAGAAACAACTCTCAGTAGTGGGACGTTGGGCTATAATACCCTTTTAATTTTTAGGCCAGTTTTATTTGCCATGGGACTAGTCCTTAGGAAATAGTACATGTGCAAGAAATCTGAACTATAAAAAGTAGGCAAGGCTTCTGCTACTCCCTGGCAACTGCCCATGTGTACACTTTTAACTTGTGGTAAATAGATGCTACATGCAGTGGTGTCAGTGAAAGGGTGATTGTGAATGAGTCCTCTATTAAAGCGGGCTGTGCGACTATGGTTTTGTTCTCAAGTATTCTAGGGAACAGTACTGAGTGGGCATGTCTATATGTGATGCCACATTGCCGTAGCAAAGCATTACATGATGGCAACGTAGAGTCGGCGGGTACAAACCATAACACCACAGCTATATTGCCATAGCGATGTGCTCCCTCGGTATAGAGTATCACTACAGCAACATAGGGGCTAAAAATAACCATGAGCTGCCAGCATGGTGCAGTAACAACGGTGCTGTAGGGGCGCACATAGACATATCAAGCATCTCCTAAGAAGTTACAAGAAAGCCCGCAAGTGAGAAGTCTGGAATACCTATCTGTAGGGGAAGTCTGGCTTATGGTTTGAATCAAATGACTCTGGCTTATGGTTTGAATCAAATGACTCTGGGCATTAAGGGGAGGACTTACTACTTGTGAGTGCATATCAGCTGTTTTCTCTCTCCACTCCTAAGTGAAGATAAACTGCCGTAACTTAACCCTGCTTCATTCAGGGGTAAACTGCCTCCGTTTATTTTCCACTTACCTTGGGATAAGAGTGGACATAAAAGATAGTTACAGTTCATTTAGCTGAGCTGCAGTAGATCCCCCAGAATGACTCTCCTCCATCTCAGATAAGTCTGGGTGCTCTTATTATTCACAGCTCTTTCTTTCTCATTCTCCTAAGCTCTTAGGGCAGAATTCTGTTTTACTTAGTGGATGACAGAAGTGCAACTTGTGTCTAACTCCAAGTCACCAGACTAAAGTGTAGGAGCAACTCTGTCGCTGCATCTGGGCCTATAAGAACCACCATGATAGGAATAGGTTGGAATTCTGCATAGAAGTCTAGCCTTGTTCTCTACAAAATCTTGTGACAGTTAGTTCAGCAGACATGTTTGCTCCTATATTTTTAAAAAGCATTGCCTTCTTTCACTGAATGCCCTGCTGCTCTCTACTGAGGAACAATTTGGAGGCCAGAAATAATGATAATCATCACCCAGCCTGACCGTCTGCCTATCATAAGTTATAGAAGAGCTAAAAGGGAATTCCTGAAGCCATTGCTCTAATGCTCTATTCCGTCTCCTCTCTCAAGTCCTTTTGTGAATGTCTCTCCAGGTCCTTAGTCAGTTTTTGCTCTTCTCTAAACCTCTCGGTTTCTGCTACCTCACTACAGGCGAGCGTTGCATTGTTTTACATGATGGTCCTGTTCCCTTTTCATGGTTCTGTTGTCATTTCATAATTGGAGGAGCGTCATATTTGTTGTACTCAAGAGATGGTGAGCTACTGTGGAGCTGGGGTGATGAGACCCTGCAGACCTTGCCTGTGGGAGGCCAGTGCCCCGTGAAGACTGAGCTGAGGGGGCTCTGCCACAGGCTTCTCTTATGCATCCAGGGGGGCACTTGCTGAGCCCATTCTTTTCTTTTTCAGCCTGATGTCAGGGCTGGCCACCATGGACTCCAATGCCTGTGGGAAGATGGGGTTGATCACACTCACCTATTACCTTTGGACAACATTCATGGCTGTGACTGTTGGGATTATTCTCGTGACTAGCATTCATCCAGGTGCCGCTGCTCAAAAAGAAGAATATGCTGTTGCAAAAGCAGCATTAAGTTCAGCTGATGCTTTATTGGACTTAATCAGGTACTTTTACAGCATCTTTGGTATTAGCCCTGATTGTATAAACACTGCCCTTGGTTATTGCTTATGGCCAGAACTGTCCCATATTGCAGATGAATTGAACAGGTAACTGTCCAAATTCAACCCATTTGCTTGTTCACACCAGTACTAAATTAGACCCAAAGTGCCAGATCCTATTCCACCCATTTAAGGCCACTTCTAGTGGCCTTGAATCTGGACACCTAAATGTGATCCTTTCCCACCCTTTAAAGTCCCGGAAAAAAATGGTAAAAATGCCGTCGTGTTACCATTACAACTATCACAAAGAGCAGTGAGAAGAACGATCCATCTGTCTGGTAGGGACATGAGCAGGGCACAATATGATCACATTCAAGGGCCCAATATGTGGAATAGGAACTTGAACCCACACCCCAGGCACAGGTCGCCTCAACTGGTTCTAATACACCCCCCCATCCAGATGTGTTCCTTTGGACTAGGAACAGAAATTACTAGGGTTGTGCGAAGCTGCGGGTGCCGATTTGATTCGGAGGAGATTCAGCCTGATTCGATGGCCAACTCTCCAAATCTGAATCGAATCAGGGGACCAATTAAAAGATCCAAATTGATTCAAAGCTCTCTGAATCGATTTGGAAAAGATTCAGACAGTTTTGGCGATTTGGGCAGTCCCCGCTGGCTGCAGCAGGGAGCTGGACCCGGACTCCGTGCTGATAAGTAAGGGGCGGGGGAGGAGGGACTGGAGCAGGGGGGAGGGGTCCATGGGGGGGACCTCTGCCAGGCCTCCTGAGCGCCCCCTGACCCCCACCCATTCTCCCAGCCCCCAACCCCAAAGCTGCCCCAGCTCCTAGTTGTTTAAACAAAAGCCCCTACTCACCGGGTACTGGTGTTTGGCAGCAGCTGAATCTCTAAATCAGATTCAGCCGAATCGAGTCAGGACAGTGATTCGAATCACTGAATCGAATGCATAAACTGGTATAAGTGATTGTAAACCAGTTCAAATCTTTAACACAACAGTAGTTCATTGCACATAAACCACTTTTAAAAAGGCTGAAACTAGTTTAAGATAAATCTGAATTTATCCAAAGGGTGGGAAAGGATCACATTTAGGTGTCAAAAAGCACCTGTTTGACCCCAGTGCTCTTTCCTGCCATGGCAGGGGGTCAGACTTGATGATCTGCCAAGGTCCCTTCCGACCCTACCAACTATGAAACTATGAAAGGATGTAGTATCAGCCTTAACTGATTTAGGCTAAACTGTTTTTTTGAACTTCTGTCCCAAATCCCTTCCAGATTCAAGTTAACTCACAGTCCCCCAGCATCCCAGGATGCTTTGCACCTCCCCAGCAATCCTCTTCTTGTAGGATGCGTGGACTAGCCTTGACCCAGTCGAGCAGGGAGGTATGCTTTAGCACCCCCTGGCTTCTGGTCTGGGCCACTGCAGGCATGTGGCTGCATTTCCTGAATCAAAAATAAATGTCTGTTCACTTGCTTATCAGGTCAATCTACTTATCTTAGACTAACCTGTGAAGACTGAATTGATTTAGCTTTTTGACTGACCATACTTAGCTTTAAAGATGTTCTGGTGGCCGTGCCCTGTTGCCCACTTGTTGCTGGGTCATGCAGCTCCCTCCCTCCAGAGCTGGCAGACTTCAGCGGGGGAGGGTGTGCATGCAGAGGCATGTCATGAAGCATTTGAAAAATGTGCTTTTCCAAAGTAATTTCCTTACCAAGGCATGACTAATTAGATGCCCAGTGTTTGCTCGCTGCTCTGCCATTCCCTTTACAAAGCGGCAGCTAGTCAGAGAAAACTCCCTTTAGAAAACACACTGGTATCAGCTGTCAGAGGTGGGAGTACTCTGCAGGCACCTGAGCCAGCTCCCCAGTCTGGGAGATGCTGCCCGCTCTCTCCTGCTGCTCCCTGAGTCACGCTTGCAGAGGGCAGCTTTGAGTGCCAGCCACATTTCACAGGAGCGTCACTGCCAGAACTGCAAGTGGAGCGAATCATGAGTGCATCTCTTGGCATTCTGGCTGTGACCCCCCTTTCTACCCTGCCACCGCTATCTACCTTTCCCAGGGTCTGGACTGGATTTGCCACCTGCAGGCCTCCTAATGCAACAAGGGGGATGCCAAGTAGTTTGTGCTCACCTCGAGGTTTGCGATGTCAGGCACAGCCAGAGACCAAAGCCCCCACTCCTGTAGGACTCCCTGCTGCCTTCCCTAGGGCTTGCCCTTGGGACAAACAGAAGGATTTGGTCCAATAGCAAATTAAAACACAAAGTGAAGTCTATGACAGCTGAGTCCTCAAAACACACTACTGCGGCTTTGCAGCTCTGGATTTACATCACTGGATCCATGGCCCCTTTGTCACTTTTCAGTCTCAGTTCCCTTCCTGTTTCAGACTGTGACAGGGGGTAGCAGACTTAGAGGAACTGCATAAGCCTGAGTCATTATGCCTTTATTTGCTTTAATCGCAAGAAGAGCCTTTCCAGTTTCAGGGACTTTCAGGCACACAAGGCTGTTCAATTCCTGTATCATTACTCTCTTGCAGAAATATGTTTCCTTCCAACCTGATTGAGGCTTCGTTCCAGCAGGTGAGTTCACCTCCTCCCGAGCCCCTCAGCCAGCTCAGGGCTGCTGAGAGAAAGCGGAAGAGCTACATGGTGCACAGGATAGGGCAGCTGCCAGCAGTTTTGTTGGGTCTCATGGTTTCCTGAGGAGGGGAGAACAGCACCTTTCCCTGCGCAAGCTTGGTCACGATTCCCTCCTCCCCACTCCCTCCCTCCCTGCTGGCTCTACCTACGTTTGGGGCTACACTCACCACGTGCAGACTCACAGGGACTGTGGCTCTTCAAAGGAGAAGAGAGCCTTTCCTGGGGTGTGGGGTGCTGGGACTGAAGCTTTTGGCCAGCAACATCTGTTGGAGATGCACACATGCCTAACTGTGCTCATGGCTTTGGTGGCCATGAGTGCATAGTGGGCCTGGAGGTGACACCCCCCAATTCTGCCTGCTAAGAACAAGAAGGTTCCTCCCCTTTCCCACAAAACATGCCACCTTCATCTGTGCATAGGGCTGGGTTTTCAAAAGCTCAAAGGGGCTCCAGGCCTTTGGAAATCTGGGTGTTAACATTTGCCTAGACCAAGCCATCCTTCCTCCCCTCCTCCAGCTCTTGCTGGTACCAGATGGTAAGGCACCCAAGCAGCCCTTCCTCCCCTTCCCTGCCATGGCCACCATTCCCCAGAGAAGGGCAGCACAGGGCACGTCCAGGTGTGGAGAGGGAGTCACCAGGGGGAGCTGGTAAAGGGAGAAAGTCAAGCAAACGACACCAAGAGCAAGATGCTGGGACAGAGGGAGGGGCAGGTGAGCAAGCCTGGGGAGAAGGGGGAGAAAAGAGGTGAGTGAAGGGGGATGGCAGCATGAGCCCGTGTGTTTGGAGGGCTGGGGGGAGTGAAGGCTGCTCGTGGTGGAAATCAAAGAAAGGAGAGAAGCTGGTAGGGGGAGGGAAGGGCAATGGCTGGATGCTTTGTAAGGGGGGTCTGTGCAGCAAGCACAGTGAGGATTGGAGGGTCTGCACAGCCCACCAGATTCCAGGTGAGTGTGTGTTTTGCATTTGCTGGATTTGCACTGGGAAGCTGTAAAGCAGGCCGCGTGTGCAAGGTTTGGGGGGCAGAGGCTGATGAGGGAGAGACAAGAACGAGTGACAAAGTTAGAAAAAGAAGGAACAAATAGACTTAAAAAATGAGAGGAGATGATGATGAGATCCATAATAAATGGAAGAAAGGAAAAAAGGAATGGAAAAAGGGAGACAGAGAAAGAGAGGCTTGAGAGCAACAAAGAAAATGCAAGATGCTTTGTGCCCAGCGAAGTGGGCCACTCTCCTAGCCAGAGGCAGTGGTAAACATGTCTACACTGGGAGCCCCTGCCAGGGCTGAACACAAAAGGTGAATCCATCTGCTTTTGTGTCATATAACAGTCTTACATGAGATATAACCCCATGCACGTGTATCATGTTACAGGTTGCAACACATTAATCGGGTTGTAAAGTGTAATGTCTATCCTGGCCTACAGGGTCCTGCTCACACACTAGTGGCAAGTGCTGTGTCTGTCCCTTCGAGAAGAGCAGTCTCAAAAGCGCATGTGAGAAAGCCTGGGCTGCAATTTGAAGGACATGATACCTTCACTGGTTTATTGTATAGTTGTGGCTGCTATCAAGACTCGTACAAAACATACCTCAAGCTCCTCCTTGCAGATTCAGGGCATGATCCTGTCCAGTCAAGTCAGTGGAACTTTTGTGGCTGACTTCAGTGGCAGCAGGATCGAGCCGTTTGCCAGTAGGACATTGACTTTGCATTTCTTTGATTTGGTTCCAGTATCGAACAGTTCTCGTCCCCGTGGTGAAGACTTCGGGCTTTCCAAACAGCCCAGGGAAATCTCTCAGTTTTGTTTACTTTGTGCCAGATGGGGAAAATCCTGAAATCAACAGGCCCGTGCTTCTTGAGATCACCCCATCTCCTGAAATGACCTACCAGACCCTGCCCGGTACCAGCAATGAAATGAATGTCTTGGGGATTGTTATCTTCTCAGCTACAATAGGTACTCGCTAAATACAGAATGAGCATTCATGCTGTAAAGTGACCCAACTTTATGCTGGTTACTTAATAATGGAGGCAGGATAGTGCGATTACTCACAGGAAATATGGAGATCTCCAAAGCTAAATGCATGAACTGCTTCAGCTTGAGCTATCAGGCTGTATAGTTGAAGCTGTAACAACTCGTGTCCTCTGTGGATTGGGCATAAAAGGCATCTTGTACCCTTTACTTGTGGGTTACAATAATGGGGCCATTGCTCAGATTACATTGACGGTAATGAGCAAAGTAATGTGTCCCCTTCACATTTTCAGCACATCCTCTCAGTGCAGAGTGCATTTCCTGATCATTTCTAAGTAAATATAAGCAACTGTTTTTAAAGAGACCTTATATGAAGTTCAGTAAAATATCTGTAATATTTTTAGGGTCTTCTAGCAAATACACAAGGCACATATGATTCAAATTTTTCCTTAGTTGAAGCTCATGGAAAATTGGCAAACCAGCTACATTTGAAAACATATTAGGTTATAGTTGAGCAGTTATCAACAGAAATCACTTTCGGCCATTTCTCTGGAAATTTGCATATGAATAAGGAATAGCAATCACTCCCCTCCACTGAACTAGGACAAGACAACGGCTAGCATTTCAGAGAAGGGGAAAAATGATGGGTGAACAGAACAAGAAAGGAAGGTTCTGAAAAGTAGCTATCAAGGAGGAAAGTGAAGATCAGATGAATTGATGAAGACAGGAATTTAGAGACTGTTCCAAGCACAGGGGATAAAACGACGATAGGTGCAAAACTGGGAAGGAAAAAAAGAAGAATGAAGAAGTAAGGAGATGAGAGTGGGAGAAAAGAAGATTATAGAAACTGGGGGAGATGATGTGAAGGTGGAGGTCAAGACAAGGAGCTTGAACTCGATGTGGTAAGAAACAGAAAGCAGTTAAGGGATTAGGGGGCATGGTCAGAGCAGTAGGGGAGAAAGTTGAAGGAGGTACAAAGGTGCTTTAAATAGACCAGAAGGGGAGAAGAAAAGGGCAGGCACAAAAGAAAAGAAGGTAGCAGTGACCAGGAAGTAGAGCTGTGCGAAGCTTTGGGTGCTGATTCGATTCGGATTGGGTGCCCCACCGAATTGGGCCAAATCTCCAAATCCATATTGAATCAAGAGACCAGTTAAAAGGTCTGAATTGATTCAAAGCTCTCTGAATTGATTTGGAAAAGATGTGGCGAGCTTCGGCGATTCGGCCAGTCCCTGCTTGCTACCGCAGGGAGCTGGACCTGGACTCCATGCTGGTAAGCCGGGGGCAGGGGAGGGGAACCATGGGGGGACCCCTGCCTGCTCCCCCTGCCCCGAGCGCCCACGACCCTCATCCGCTCTCCCAGCACTGCCCCCCCATGGCTGCCCTACCCAACCCCAGCTCCCGGCCCTTAAAAAAAACCAAAACCAAAAAAGACCCCACTCGCTGGCTGCTGCAGTGTCCTCAGGGCTTCTGGGGGCTTGTGATAGAGCCCCCCATGCAGTGAGGGGCAGTGGGGATCACCCCCTGCCTGGCAGGACCCGGTGAGTTGGGGCTTTTTTTTCAAGGGCCAAGAGCAGGGGCAGGCGGGACAGCCATGGGGGGGTTGGGACAGTGGGTGCGGGATGCAGGGCATCGGGGGTCACCCCCCCACCTGGCAGCAGCCAGTGAATAGGGGCATTTTTTTTTTTTGAGACAGGAGCTGGGAGAGCGACTGTTGAGAGTGGGTGGAGGATCAGGCCCGATTTGGAGATTTGGCTGATTTGGCAGTGAATCAGCCAAATTCGGCTGAATCAATTCGGGACAGTGATTCAAATCACCGAATCAAATCACTGTCCCCCGAATCAACCGAATCCGAAGCGAATACTAGCCACTTCGCACAGGCCTACCAGGTAGCCAGTGGACAAGGCGGAGTACAGCAAAGATAAGGAAATAGTGTATCTGGTTATAATAAAGGGGAAGAATTGACAGGGCTTGGCACACGGACTGGCCATGGGAGTGGAGGCAAGAAACAAAGGAAGGTGCTGAAGATCACACAAAGGAAATGAAGCTGGGAGGTGTGGAAGGGAATTGGGTTGTCATCAGTGACAGAGCGAGGTACAAGAGGCCCCAGCAGGCAGGAAGGGCAGTGCCGGTATATAATGATTGTGATGGGGCAAGCGGACCTTTGAAAGGAGAAAACGGATGCAATGGGACAGAGGCAGATCTGCAGCAGCTCCTTAAAAATGAAAGGGTTCATTATAGTAGAACATGTTTTCTGGATGATCACCAACATTTATGTTCCCTGACGACTTTTTCATTGTAATTCCTTGTGTTCAAATATTGTTGGAAGCCTCCTGCAAGCAGTGGAGCCTTTCAACATGCTCTGAAAAGGTACTGGATTGGGCTCAGGAAGCTTCTTTCCCTTTAGTTGTTTGTCAGATGGGGTGTTTGACTGACATCCTCCTATGCTTCTTCTCAGTAAAGCGTCTTGTGTAGTCGTACCCTGTTTCACCTAGTGGACAACCAAAGTGCTTTCACACTACCTTTGAGTTGCCCAACAAGTGTAGGAGTGATTATATTACTTCACCTGGGTGCCTAAGTGCTGTCATATAGGCATGAATGTGTGCCCTTGGAGGCTGGGGGGGCACAGCGACTGCCCCTAGGCAGTGGTGGTGAGCAGGGAGCTCCTTCAGGTGGTTGTGGTGGTGTCGGCATTTGTGGGGGGCAAGTGCAGACCAGTAATCAGCAACCGCCTGAGATGCCACCAGCGGTGTCAACGGCAAGGGTGGGAGGTGGTGAGCAGCGACCTCCCGCAGACGCCACCGGCAGCATCAGCGGTGCTTCTCTCATGGGGTGCACTGCCAACCTCAGGGGGTGCACGTGCACCCGCATTCACCCCTTATGCATCGCCAATGCACATGGGAATAGGGAAACATCTGAGCAAGGTTGTTAGAACGTGATATCCTCTCCTCTGGCCATTGGGGTCTGGTGTGCTGCAAGAAGACCAAGAAGAAATTAGTTTAATTTGCAGCAAAGATTTTCTTTGGATGTTAGGAAAAACATTTTCAACTGTTAAGATGGTGTCTAATTACAGGCTACTCCAAAGCCCACGCTTGTTAGCCGGGGCAGTTAGGTAGGTGGATGTGAAGGGGGACACTTGCATGGAATTCTGTTTCTCTTTGGTCATCTAAATGGCAACTTTTTAGGTGTCTAAGTGGCATTTCTGGCTCTTGTGTTGTTACTAGACTTAATATTAGCCTTCAGGTAGTGGCACTGAAGTCATAAAATGCTTGGACAAAAAGAGTCCTTTCTCCGAAGATAGTGTTTATTGATCACAGCAATTTGCAATTTCAAGCATGGGACAAAAAACCAACAGAAAAGCTCGGCCTAAATTAAGACACAGCCAGATAGACACAGTGATAACACACAAATTAGCCTACCTTAAAATGCAATGTAAGCTAAAAAGACAACAGAAAGCCTCGCATAGATCTTATATAATCCTGAGGGCAGAGTTTCTCCTTATAGCCAGGTATTTGGAAGGCGTTTTTGGGGGGAATCTGCAAGTCTTCTGTGATGAGGATGGTCCCATAGGCCTCATCTTTGCCTGGGTTGTAGGCGATCTACACCCCCTTCTCTCCCTTGGATGCCTTGACAATGGCACGCTTTTCACATTAGTCATGTATTCCATGCCTCTCACGGCTCTCACACATTCAGTGTCGGTCTCTTGTCTCTTTTCAGGTATTTAAGTCTCTCACCCCTTACAGTTTCCATTTTGAAATGTAAATGTAGCCCCCTGCCTTCTTCCCCTCCACTGCTAAATTAGGTCCCACATTTAACATCTGTCACATAGCTTCAGAATCAGTTAAAAGGCCCACACTTGTTAAGACTGTACCAGGTCTTTGCCAATACTACAAAGGTAGGCATTCTGTTTCTGATGTGTAATCCTGTGTGCACAGATGACAATGGTAGTAGCAATGGTGCCTAAGAAGTCTGCAGCTTCTTAGGCAAGTTATCGGGGCTAAAACATGCGAGGGCTTTCCTCTTTGCATGTCTAAAAGTTGCTAACCATGGCTTTGGGCCTTAGATAGCTATACATTAGGGCTGTGCAAAACAGCAGCGTTCTGCTTCGACTTCCATTTCAACAGGACAGTGTTTCGTTTCGAGCTTTGTTTCGTTTTGAAATCCCCGTTCCATTCCGTTTCGTCAAAATGGTTTCACTGTTTCGACGCTGTTTCGAGGTTTCGCCAAGAGGCTATAATGGGGAAGCACGAAACTGCCTATAACTTTATCATTTCTTGCCTGATTCTGATGAAACTTGCAGGGATGACAGCCCCTTTTGAGGGGATGAAGCTTGCCAAGTTTCAAGGAGATCGGTGCAGGGGTTTCTAGGAAACTGCACCTCAGGCTGCTGACAAGTAGAAGGTGGGGAGCAGGAGCAGCATCCTTGGATTTGGCAGGCACGTTGGGGGCCCACATCCCGGGGAGGAGTCCAGCAGAGCCCCCATAGCCCTCCTGGGTGTGCTGGAGGGCCTGGATCTGCCTTCCGAATCACAGGTCACTGCTCCTGCCACCTGGGACTCAGCACTGGGGAACTCAGCCTGGCTGGGGGAAGCACTTCCTGAAGCTCGTCTGAGTTCCCCAGCGCTGCAAGCTGCCGGGAAATGAGCCTGGTGGCAGGAGACATTTACCCCAGCCGGGCGTAGTTCCCAGTCGCTTGCAGCCCTGGGGAACTGAGCCCAGTGTGGGGAAGTGCCTCCCGCCACCCGGCTCAGCTCCCAGCAGCTTGCAGCCCCCTGAGCCCCATGGAACTCAGCCTGGTGGCAGAGGGTGCCGGCTCTACCCACCTTCTGCCACCGGGCTGAGCTCCATGGGGCTGGCGGAGCTGCCCGGAGCGCAGCCCAGTGGCAGGAGGCAGGCAGAGCCAGCTCTGCACTCTGATCGGCTCCGCCAGCCCCATGAAGCGCAGCCCAGCAGTGGGAAGCAGAGAGAGCCATGGCTGCACCCCCTGC